TTTGGTATATGTACCGTATATACATTCATATGCATATACCTAGTAAAAAACGGTTATTTCAATATTACAAACAGACTCTCCAATTTTATTTATATGTATAGAGATGTATAGAGATAAGCTACTTAAACTAATTATTATAAAAGTCTAGACTTAGATACTTTCATAATACCTTATATTTTCAGTCCAGCGATGTTTTTAAATTGGTCTGGAAAACCATACCTATATCCAAGTAAGTTATTATTACAAACACCACTTAACAATCTTTAATAGTTATAGAAAAGCTAATTGTTGTTTACCGTATATGTAGCTTTACATTAAGAAAATGTTTAATTGCCTTTGGATTTACTGTTTGTGGTCTAGTCAAAAGAGTTCTTTAATTTCCTGTTCCTGTTTGCATTTTTGACAACCTTTTCATTGATGATTGATATTTTCAGTTTCAAGAGATTTATAAGTCATACAAACAGTTTATTGATGTGGGTCAAGCAATAATATTGACGACTATTTGATCTTTATAGTATAGTATATATAGTTTAGTAAGTAGGTATGTCAAGAACTTATTGGCCATGTATTAAAAACAATTTATATTTCAGCGAATTTAAATTTAATATTGTGCCTAACAAAAGAAATAAGTAAAAACACAACCTACAAGAATCTTGTTCTTTTGTTGTTGTAGTAACTTATGTTGTAAGTTACTCGTGTTATTATGTAAATATAGTAAAAATAATATTTTGGACATAGTTATGATAAAGGTTCCGAGGTTTTAGGTTTGACTAAAAGACAGGAGGGCATTAGGTAATAAAAAAAATTAAACTGTCTGTACAAGACTAGGCAAGCGAACAAAGGGAAAAATATTTATTATCAACTGAAAAGCACGCTTTTGCCAGTATTACGATGTAGATTTAGACCCATTTAAAAACAGTATATATAATTAATAAATTATTAATTTGACTTAAGTACTTACCTATTTTCTAGTTAGATGGAGGTTGTTTTTACTGTAATTAACGATATGTTCAATCAAGTACAAACAGGCTTATAGAATCCTTACTTAATATTTTCTTTACATACATATTTCCTTACTTACCTATATTACATTATAAATGCGATAGTAACTCGTCTATCTGCCGCGCTTTCACGCCAAAACTACTGAACCTAATTAAATTAAAGGTACAGAAACAGTCTAGACCTTGTGAAAGAACATAGCGTACTTTTTAATGCGAAAAAATGGTTGTAAGGGGCTGAAAGGGGAAATAAAAGGTTGTAAGTATCATCAATAAAAAGCTAGACGATTAAACCTTATTTTTAATGAGGCTTAATAGTCTAGCTGGCGTAAGGCTGTTGATTGTATATAAATAAATAAAAGTTTGTAACAATTTAACCCTTAAGGGGATAAAGTAAAACAGCAGTTGAAAGTTTGTATTAAAATCTAAAGCAAACTAAGAAACTTAAGTGGTTCGGACAGTGCACTTTCAAAAGAGCTTGTTCCCGCGTACCTACACTTAGTTTGTGGAATAAACTATCTGCCGACGTTTTCTCACGAGACTACAGCGTGAAATTTTTCAAGAAGGGTATATTAAGGTTTCTTAAGGATCTACAAGCGCACGTAACACACGTGGTGTTTCAGGCGTCCATAGCACGGCATTATCTATTGTAACCATTTATCATCAGATGGGCCGTATTGTTTGCCACCATAGTAGTTGTCGCCGATACTATCCTTTTTACTCACACTTATTACTTTTTTCTTACCTTTCTATAATTAACATCTTGTTCGAACAAACAAATGCTATAAAGAGTGAACGTAATTTTAATTCCAATTATATAAAAAAGTCGTCGTTTTTCAAGCTCGAACGATGGAATTTTTTTCTTTGGTTTTTTTGGGTTATGTGATTAAATATTTTTTCTGTATTGGAGTTATTATTTTATTTAGTTCATTCGTCAAAAGTAGATTACTTTCGAATTTAGTTAAATGCTTTTACTTCAAGGATTCTAATAAGCTCTTTGCAGTGAAGCATAGCAAAAAGCTAATGCAAGTATTTGTAATAAGTAATAATAATATCCCTGCACAATCACCCAGCGCCATCTAGTTCCAAACTAAGCAGAGCTTGTGTTATGGGTTCTAGACAACTAATACTAAACTAAACACATAGATTTTATTTTGTAAATACATACATAATATACATAGAGGACACCCACACCGATACAAACAATTATACTTATGAATACAAATGTTGGTACCGTGCGAAGAATCGAAGCGGCTATCATCGTAAGTAAAGTGGTGCGCTAAACCACTAGACCACCGAGGTACGTCACGTATAATACGTACCTATGGGTCTTATTTGTAAAATAATTAGCCTAAACAATTAAAAATGCTATAACTTGCTAACTACTAGTTGTTTTATAAAAGTAATTGTTAACTAAACAAATTTAATTATTCAATTACTATCATTTGGTTAAAGCTTGCTTATATATTATATATTAATCTTGACTAGAAAGTTATACAAGCTGTTTTTACTTATACTGTGTCTATAAACGACAGTTACAATTCAAATTTTTACTTGCAGTTTCGTTCGCTGACCGAATGTGTCAGGACCTGTTGATTAACTATAAAAAGTAGATTGTCCTTCTGTATGTCAAATACCTTATACATGTAAGCCAAAGCACTTTCACACATTATATTTTTTATTGGTGGTTTCAATGGCCTAGGCGAGGGTTTAGGGTTTATTAATACTGAACATGCAAAATATATACCAGCTCGTGATGGTCAGAGGTATTATAAGTTGATGACGTCGTAGTAATTAGAACATTTGACATAGGTATATTTATATATATATATATATATTTATATATTTTATTTTTGTTTTGTACCTATTTTTATTCTGTGTTTACCACGGGATTCTAGGAGACAGGAGGATAGGCAAGCTTACTGCCATCTCGTTAACTATAGTCTGTTTTTTTTTATCTCCGAGACATATTTGACAAATCCTATGTTGCCAGCTTTCCCCGATTCTAACATACTGCTGTGGCACTATCGAAAATTAAGATGAATTTTTATTACTTAATCAGAAATTATATATGGGTTTATATTTAAAGCACATTAACACAAAACTAATAAATTATTGGTATAAAGAAATATAGGGTTGTTGTATCAAAATAAAAAATTAAGTTGTCATTTAGATAAAAGACAATAAGACAAAAAGTGACTGCCTCTTATAAACAATAAATGTCCTCGTATGGTATCATATTTCATAAAATATACGCATACAGCTGTTTGAAGGAAATAAAATAGTTGGTTTTTAGTTTAATAACGTAAAAGTTATATATTTTTATGTTGTTTAATTCAAACACAGTAATCTAAAATGTTACACAAATTAAAAATCAATATATGTTGTGGATTTTACGATCTATATTCGTGTGACTAGGTAAAGAAGCTCTAAAAATAAAACAAACCAATGACATTCTCAATATGTTTATTCAAATTAAAGAGACAATGCAAAGCAATTATTGTCGAAACACAGCAGACGTAGAAATAACAAAAACATTATGTATCACAGTACAAAAAAACTAATTTATCCACTTTAAGGGACATAAAACATTTTGTAAATCGAATACAATCGCAAATTGCGAGATAAAGGTAAAAATACAACTAACAATGACCATAATTGTACACTTGTATAGTATTTTTTATACATGTATACAATTTAAGCATACCTAAATAAAATTATTAAGTATTTATATATATAAAATTGGAGGAGTATAGATAACAAAATATGGATTAACTTGGAACACCATCGTTAACGTGAAAAATAGATTAGAATAGAACAACGCATTGGCAATGTAATAAGAGTACTTGCAATATGTAGATATTAATCTGATTTCTAATAGAATTATTTATTAGCACCATCTGTCTAATAAACTTGCCTATTCCGAAATTGAAGACTTTGAAAATCTATCTTTTCTGATATACTGCAACAAATTGCTTAATAAGAAATATTTAATTTACATTTTTATAATATTGGAAGATAATTTTCTTTAAAATAAAGTACTATAACTAGAACTTCATAAAGAAGATCTAATTGCATAATCGTGTCCTCAATTTTAATATACAAATTATACTTTAATATACAGATTCAAGATGGCACCAATACAATATAAATATAATTAACACAATATGAGAGTTACTTAATAGATTTATATTATTTTGTTTAATTCTACTACCATAATCATGTGTGGGACCATAAATATTTAGTGTGGAAACGCTAAATACCACTACTGAAGGGTTATGATTTTCTCTATTGGTGATCAAATTCCGAGCGTTATTGAGTTTTGACCCATATTGCGTCGTGTTTCGCCTCTAAACAAGGCATCATCAACCATTTAGTTGAATTGGATGTAGCTTAGTGTTGAGTGTTCGACCACGAAACAGGTGTTAAAATATAGATGTAGACTCAATGGCTGTCGGAATTTAATTACCAATAGAGAAGCTAGGATCACTTACGCCCAGTAAAAGTGGTCAGGTTTTCACACTGAATATTTGTTGTATCAAACATGCTAATGATAGCGGAATTAAATAAAATAATATAAATATATTGCGTATTGAAATGGAATTCCGTAAAATAACACCTAATTTTACAAAATGAATACACATATAAGAGATTTTAGTCTTCGTATCGTATTCTACTACAATTATAATCACATATATTAATATAAACAGTATACTACTACTGTAATGCTAACGTATTGAATACGTAATACGTAATTCATTCGTTACACCTTAAATAAGAAATAGTTACACATAGAAAGTAAGTACGATATGATTATAAACTAGTCCTTATGAGTTAAGAACATTCAATGTTACCTATAAATGTAAGATGTAGACAATCCAATAAGTCAATGAGTATATAATTAGAATTATTAATAAATTACTTATGTGACAATAAGTTTTACCCTCATAAGGTAGAAGATTCCAAAATGGCTACATCTCATAACGTGCCGATCGCAGATTTTCCTTTAATTTATTGATTTCTCAGTAGTAATATGTAATAATAATTTAAAACCTTAAGGTTATTTACTTATATCTTATACTACCATAACAATCTACTTCAAAACACCATATTTATTTTTTATTAAAGAATAGGAATGTTACTACAGATCATACATGCTCCCCTAGCTAGAATAATAAGATTTAGCAAGGGAATTTCTTAATAATACAAAGAGGAAATGGTTAAAGCGGTACTCTACCTGACATAATATAATAATGACTATGGATCATTCAGATATAATTATAGTATTTAATACATGCCTCTTAAAAAAACTTTTGTTCAGGTTAGTATCGGCTCAGTAACTATCAATGTAGACATAATTGATAAGACATACTGTAATTCTATTAAAAAAATACTGTACGTAATACCTAAATGTTTCTATGTAACATGCTATATAGTAATGTCACTCAAACAAATTAAAAAAAAAATAGGTAATTGAATTTCGGTTGTAATTTACCTATATTTCCTCCCAGCAATATAAATAAATTAACTAACAATACTATTAGTTACGTATTAATGTCGGTTTACCGATCATGGCGGCATCTTATCTAAGCCCTTGTATCAGGGATTCTTAAATGTTTAGGTATACACAGTAGATCTTATTTATTTAGAAAACTTACTTAGCTATCTTTCAAATTTACAAATTTTAGAGACAAGTTTACACATCATATTTGTTTAATCGACATGTCAAAAGAAGATATAATTATATAGAGCAGTTGAAACTATATTTGGATATAATAAATCAGATTATATACAAAATATAACGTGAGCAAACTCCAGAGAAAGATTGACATATGTATATCAACTCAAAATTAATTAAATACCACCAATATATACACATGATGAATAACATTTTAATACATATTATTACACTAGAATTAATACACTTAAATTTCACGAGAATTCAACAAAAATATGTATTCTTGTTAAATACTTGTAAAACTTTGCTACTTTTTAATTTAATTTGAATGTGAAATTTAAATTTCATGTAAGACCTTGTGGAAGTGTGCTCATTTAAGTATAAGACCAAGTATCATGACGTCACTTCTATACGCCACTCATATTATTACTTAAAATATCTCATAACAAGCGCAAATTTAGTAGTATAGTTACTACCCTAAGGTAGCTTAACACTACTTGGCAGAATAATAAAAAAGTTAATAAAGGTAAGTAATTTTGTATTATTATCATAACTTTTTTTCCTTGCTCTATTGTTACTGTCACCATTCCTATACAGAATTGATCTTTCAATACTATATCATTCCATATCTCTCTAATATTTCACAACCTGTTCCAAACACAGTATAAAATATATGTGAGTACAATTACATACGATGTATTACGTTTACATTAATACAATATTCAAATCAATACAGGTACTAAGTACGAAAGGATATATTAGTGTTGATTATTATTACAAACTATAAGAGTGCCAATCTTTTACAAATTTTCTTCCTTATCAGCTAAGACTAAAGTCTAATTTTACTTTAATAAATACTTAGAGTATTTTGGCACAATTATACGTAGGTACTTATGAAATAGAAATACACTATTGTTAGATTTCAGACTTTACCAAAGGTAAGTAACAACTAAGTATATAAAGTAAAAATTCTTTTGAAGACTTTTACCAACTTAATATATAATCAGAAGATGAATCATTGAATGATTAAACATAATAGTTAAATAAAAAGAGAATCCTTTAAGAAGGTAAATTGCTTCCCCTAATAAGTAAGCCAATATCAATTACATCATTAAGTTAGTAATTAATTGTTAACAAATATACTAATGAATACTAAGTACATACATAATTTAAAGTCTAATCAGAATCAATACACAGTTCCGCTTTTATTTAAACAATAACTAACTGTTTACTTAATCTTTTCTCAAGACTCCAAATAGGTCTTCAGCTTATTCTAATCAAAAACAAACTTTTCTGAAATATGCTTATAAATGAAAACAAGGTAATTAACAAAAACTACAAACTAATTCTATGTGGAGGTTTGGGAAGTCTTCTTAAAGTATGAAATGCTAGTAAGCCGACTTGCCCAATGGGTGGGTGTGCTTAGGTACAGATATTATAAGCAGCATGTCAAATTACAAATAACGTAAAAAAATGGCACATAACAGTTGTGCACTATAACAAGTTAAAAAGACAACTCTATATTAGGTACTAGATAAGCATAATTATAAGTATAACACACCACCATCTATAATGAAGAAAACAAAAAAAATACAACAACGTTTAGGAAGTTGACACATCGCATTGCGCTTAGCAGAAAAACAGTTCGCTGCGCCAATAGGAAATTTCAAATATCTGATTCAGGTGAAATGCAAATGTGCAATGTGATATGTCCACCCTCACCTAAGAAACCAATCACTACCTGAGCTGAGAGGCTCGCAGTTGCGTGAGTACATGAGCGTGCCAATCTCCCGCGTGCGAACACTCCATCCGCGGTAGATTCTAAGATTACAATATTTAAAGTTAATAATAAACACTGATAATTTTACATAACTTTGGAATGAAAAATCAGTCTCCACTTTTGAAATGGATAAGTTAGTGAAAAATAAATTAAACGAACCTTAGTTTAACGAATAGTCAAAGAACGCACTTAACAACTTGAAAAAACTTTTGGCTCTTCTGCTTGATGGCACGTGATCGTAGTTGGCTGCGGCCGCCGTGTGTGAGTCCTCATGTGGCGAGTGATCATGTCTCGCCGACACGCAGCATAAGGACATGACGGGCAACGGTAAGGCTTCTCGCCTGTATGGGTCCGTTGATGTGTTGCCAGATGGTCAGAGCGCGAGAACACTTGACCGCAAGCCGAGCAAGCGTAGGGCTTCACGCCGCTATGTAGGCGAGCGTGCCGCGTCAGCATGTCCGACCGAGCAAATCGCCTACCGCAAATTTCACATTCATATGCTCTAGCAGCTTCTGGAGTTCTGTTTCGATGCCGTGATGCGACGTGTTTGGCGAGCCGGTCGTGAACTGTGAAAGTCTGGCCGCAAGCATTGCAGGAATATGTCGGCTCTCTCTTTGGTAATGGTGGTGGAGGTTCTGACTTGATGGAGAGGTCCAGAGGAACGTCCTCTGGCGCTTTAGCCGGCACGTGCCACGACTGGTCCAGCATTAGCCAGCGGGGAGGCGGATAGTGGTTGTTATTGCGCATTTGAACAGCAAGTTTGTCTAGCAGGCTAGTGAGGCGTCGCCGCTTGTGGAGGTGCCGTGGGCTACGAGGGACCGACACCTCCGCCATGCTATCGACACACCCGCTGCTCTCGCCCTCCTCCTTGGCGCCCAGCGCACTCCAGCCTGGAAACACAATTAATTTCCGTAAATATAAAGCTTTTAAAATATCTCTTAATAGCTCAAATTACGAGAGTAAAATATTACAAAATAATATTAAATAGTACAATGAATTCAATATAAGTACATGTACATAAAGAGAAGTACAGTATTGCTTTAAAAAGCATTTTGATATATATTTTAAAGTTTGATCGACCCATTATCGTAGATGACCGCCCATCTGCAAGTTTTGGGGCAGGTGATATTTTTTTTGCGTATTAATTCTCTAGCGAAATGGCAAGACATGAGCAAATATAGATAATATATTGCACCTTTGGCGCATCTGTCCCTTAGGCATGGTGGGCGAATCTTATCCCTCAGCTCTCATTGGCAAGACGATTGAAATTTTGAACCAATCGTGTTGCTTTGCTGCGATACAAAGGGATCCCCTAAGGTTTTGAGACTAAGGATTATTCGAAGTACTCGTTTCGATGTTTTTTTTTCATGGTACTGTATACACAGTAGGTAAGGAAGAGGCGTAGCTAAAGCAAAGGGTTCGTGAAACCGGTCTCGTAAGAAAAGGCTACTGGAATTGTCTGAATGTTAGGGAGGCATCACTATTTACTCTTGACTATAAAAGTTTTTATTACCTTTTTTATATTATATTATACAGACCATTGAATAGGGCCTTTCACAGGGTCCTATTCACTATTTTGTGAACAAATAAGAAGTAGATTTTGAAGTATTAACGAATTAAATATGTAAATGTAGTATCGACATTAATTTCATTTTCCTAAAATTTATATTATATTATTACTTAACTAACAAGTTACGTAATATAAAATTAAAATATACACTGTTAGATCGATTTTTTTTAAATATGTAATAAAAACTAGTTAATGAAGTTTTAATAAGGTTTTATTCAGTCATTAGAAAACACATGCATGTTCCTAATGGGGTTATTGATGATTGCGTGATGTCAATGGTCAATCATTATTTACAATTTATTAACTGAACTGAAATTCATGGCGAACGGCTGAAAAAATTATATCACGCAAAACCTATTATCTACCAGCAGAATTTCAAGAAATTATGAATGCAATAACTGCATACAATTGATGAAGTCATAAAGAATGGAACCTTCCCTGTACGTTTAAGCCGTGGTTGAAAGGAAACTGCTTTATATATTACTAGTTGACCCGCGCAACTTTGTCTCCACCACACTTACTTGACATTTATCATTATATTGCGCCCAATTTACACATTTCTTTTTAAACCATAGCTTATGTGTTGTTATGTTGAATAAGCTATAATTCTGTAAAGTTTCATTAAAATCCATTCAGTAGATTTTGTGTGAAAGAGTAACAAACATTCATCCATACTCACAAACTTTCGCTATAATATTAATAATAGGATAGTAAAATTATTCAATCCTGACATATGTGATACCTAAGAAGCATCTGATACCTGACCTTCTCGGAAAACAGAAATATATGGTTTTATACGTACAAGAATTCAAAATACAACAGTTGTTCAGAAGACTAAAAGGATACATATTTGGTACCAATTAATATTAGGTTATTTGACATGAATTGAAAACTCATATTTATCAATTGACGTCGTTGAAATTCAGTGAAAAACGTGGAAAAGTTTACGACGTTTAATGTTAGCCTTGTGTACCAGGATCGTGATGAATTCATGATGAAGCTTATTATACATAGGTACATAATTACACTACTCGGCACATCACGACTAATTTGTTTGTAAATATCAAGTATATTCAAAATGAATGCTCAACTAAAGATGAGTGCTTGTATTATAAAAGGGTATAAAATAACACTACTGGACAATCTATGGCTAAATTAATCAAATCCGAAATAAATGCTGTAGGTACAGTTTAATTAGAGAACGAATAAATTTATTTAACGTTTTATGCCGAGAAAGTAAGCCGATATAAAATCAATATACTCTGAGATAGATGACTAACGTTAATTAATGACAATTTCAGTATGGTTTATAAATTATATACAGATTCACTTATTATCAAGTATTTGTTAATATTATATTGCGATATAAAAGCTACAAAATCACGTTGCTTTGAAATCAACGGCTACATTTAAAATTTGATCAAAAGTACAGAAAATAAATAATTTATGTTGTACGTATTCATTTATTGAATAATTTATCGATGGATATATTAAGCTAGACGGAATTAATTAGTTTTAATTGAATTAAACTAATATAGAAGAAAAGCTCTGAATACCTAAGCCAAATTATAAATACTTTAATTATATACTTATGTATATAAAAGGTTAAACTGCTAAATTGCAATGTTGGGTAGCCTCTGTTTGGTTTAAGGGAGGCAATTCTAAAAAATATAAAAGAACAGTCGCATTTGATATATTCAATTAGCAGATAAACATACTTCGTTAATAATATGATTCCAAATTTCCTCTATTAAACATAAGCTTGTTTCAGGAAATATGTAAAGTACGTACTTCAGAAGGATCAATTTTGTTAGGTATTGTGATAATAAGATTCTTAAGTAGAATTAATATTTCGACATAAATACTTACATACGGCACAAATTGATATATATTGAAAGTAGATAGGTAATATCGAAAATCATACTTTAATTTGCTATATAACGAAAAGGTATTGTTCATTTTTATTAGGTACTTTTATTAGTTGTATAATTTCTATACTTTGGCCATTTTTATCAATTTTTTCTTACATTCAAGTACTTCTTAGCTCATGTCACAAATATATATTTTTTTAAAAAGCGGTATGAAAGATTTGGTTTTATTTCTAAAATATAATACTATGGTATCTATGATGTCATTCTTTAAAAATCCAATACATCACATCTAATATTATTCAAACGGAATTAGTGATTTAGTTTTTAAACTAACTAACCTACCTAAATCTGCTTAGAAATTTTTCACTCTATACTGCCGCGAGATATGATTTTACTTAAAATGTTAGAATTAGTTAGGTATAAAGTTTTACAAATATGTAACATAAGAGCTATAGTAATTTTATAAATGATATATCTATTGATCGAAATATGATCTAAAGGTAGATAATTAAAGAGAATCTCAATTTTGCTATCTACTAAAATTATATTACTTAATATTATAATAAATATGTTTATAACTTTGGATGTTTCGATATTTTAAAATTTTTTTAGCCCGTTTAACATATATGCTAAGATATATTATTAGATTATTACGCTACAACCAATAATAAAAAAATGTAGCAAAAACGGGGAAAATATAGGAGCAGATGAAGTTGCGTGAGTTAGCTTGTATACCCTAAAAAGAATATCCACGCGTTTGACAATTTAGGAGTAAATTACTTGTGATTGAAAACTAGTATAATGTAGGTAGGAAAGGCACACGGGTTTAATTACAGTTTTGAAATACAAGTAATAAACATTTCAGTACTATAATAGGTATCAAAATAAAAAATTCAAATTATTTTTAAGAATACGAATTGTATATTTAATGTAAAGTTTTGAAAATTTAAAGAGGTCCCATAATATAGGCCTAATTTTAAGAATTATAACAGAATGATCATTTTTAAATAAGTAGAGAAGTATATTATATATACATATGTATTCACACACTTTATTATTAAATATGTAAAAAATCAAGTTGTTTTATTTAGTTCAATCAATCAAGAGCGATTTCATTTTTAACATGCACATATTTAGCAGTATTTATAATCTATGTAGTTATAGGCACCCGTTAATAAGGAAATACATACATGTTCCCAAACGTCCCGAATGCACTTTCTTGATGCTAGAATACGATGCATCTATTCAATATTGTCCTTCACAATCACTTTATATGTTTCGCGAATTTGCTTCTGCTATTCGTGTGATGCACACAGTTTTAGCAAGAGAACCGAGGTGCGTACAGTGAGTGGTACGTAAGGTCGGCGGGTCGGGTCTGCGACCGCCGACCGGTCCCACCGCCCCCGCACCTAGCACGGAAACATTGGACGTTCACACGCAATCCATCTGTGTTATTCTGTATCGTACGTGCAACAGAACTGACGTCCATTACGTTCCACACGTCGCGGCAAACTGACTGATAGCGTGCCCGCGCCGCCTCCACCCGCACCTGCGCTGCGCTTGCGCACCGTTTGTGTTCCCGCGAAAACATTGCAATGCATCCGCGGCGCATGGCGGCGCCCACGCACCAGCACATAGGACAGTCGCTCCACTGCAGGGTGCATTCCTTATTTTACCACATTACCGTTCGATTAAAAGTTTGTTACGAATTTATAGAAGACGAGGAAAGGAGATGAAAAACAATTAACAGAGCACTTAGAACATTTCAGAAATGCTGCTATACGAACTACCCATACACGTAAACTAAAGTTTAATGTAAAATATTTACTTCAAGTTAGGTAGCGGAAATGAATCCGTACCACTACGAATAAGTTGCACGAGTATACCTACTGACAGTTCTTTAATGGATGATTATGGAATGGTGCATCCGCCTGCGCTTACGGTTTACGCTGGCCGGGGCACCAGTGGAACATAATAAAATGAACGATGAGGTCAGTTCAGTTATTACATATTAGTATGATAAATTTACCAGCAATTTATCATAATGGTATCCAGGGAAATCACATGGAGGTCAAACTGACATGGTACATTGTGAGCAATGGGGTCATCAGCCCACATTATTAAAAATCCCCTAGCACAGTGGTGCAACCTATGTTCTTTGCGAACCCCATTTTTTTTAAATTTGAGTAGACAGAAGAGGTTTTTTTACCATCAACGTAGTTAAAATGAAACTATTTCTTTTATTAGAGGTTTTTACTCAACACACAATTTTATGAAACTATAGTTTTATTATATTTTTTTAACGTATTTTAAATTTGGCGACCCGAAAATGTTTTCTCGAGAGCCCTGTGGGGGTCGCGACCCACGGATTGCGCACCACTGCCATGCCAGTTATTTTTTATGGATAATAATGGAATGGAGCACCCGCCTGCGCTAACGGTTTACTCTGGCGGGGCACCAATGGAGGATGATAAAATGATCATGAGGTCAGGTCAGTTAGCCTATCGTAACAAATTTACTAGGAATTGATCACAATGGTTTCCAGGAGGAACCGCGTGGAGGTCAACCTGACATGGTATATTGCTAGCAATGGAGTCATCAGTTCACATTACTAACAATCACCTTCCTCCCTAACCATGATAGTTTCCAGGGAGAACCATGGAACTACTCTGTAACCACCACTTACGAACTCGAAAGTGGAGGGGGAAAGGCATTGTTAGTAATGGGGTTTAGTGTCCCTATTGCTAACAATGTACCATTGTAGATAGACCTCCACGCGGTTCCCCTGGAAACCATCGTAGTGAATTCCTGGTTATTTAATCACGATGGGCAAATCTGACCTCATGTTTATCTTATCATCCTCCACTGGTATTCTGCCAACGTAAACCGTTAGCGCAGGCGGGTGCAGCATTCCATTATCATCCATTAAAAAAAACTCGAAAGTGGAATCTGCGGTGAATTTGTACATACATTGATATTTTATAAAACTCACTAGCGACCACTTGCAACGCTATACGATTGAGAGCGGGATGGAGGTAAAACAGGCGGCACTAATGATTTTTTTGACGTTTGATGCATCTAAAGGGCAATATTCGTAATCTGTGAGCGTTTTATCGATTCATTTCACTCATCGCTTTACATGAGGCACTCGAATGCACTTGTCTATACTAATATAAATGGGTATCTAAAGTTATAGATCATTTGTAATAGAGCTGGTTTAACCAGTATTAGTTAAATCAGCCTTCATGAGAAGGAATAAACTTACTATCGTGCAAATGCATGCGCCTGTATTCTTAGCCATTCGTAGCCATGGGTCAATCTAGCAGGTATCTAGCGATAAATATTCTTATTCCGAATTATAAAGTTTATTCTTATATGCCCATAGCCAATAAATTACTAGCATGTGTTTTCATACTGTCGGTTTTTATGGTAAAAATAAATAACACTGCGTTTTGTTAATCATTTTATTTATTACTAACTGTCCCGGAAATGTTGTTTTTGAATAACAACAAATAAAAAAAAGTTAGTTCATAAATAAAAAAAATGTTATGGGTGGACATCTCTTATCACTTAGGGATATGAAAAATAGATAGTAGTCGATTCTCAGACCAACTGAATATGCATATAAAATTTCACAAAAGTCCATCAAGCCGTTTCAGAGGAGTATGGTATATTATATCGTGACACGAGAATTTTATATACAAGAAAATTTTCTTCGCAAGTAAGTTTACAAGATTGAAAACATTCTAACGTCAGGGATAACTAATACCTAATAATTTAAAGCTTTCTTCTAAAGTGTTTCACTAGGTAGGAAATTGATAGCTTCGTTTCATTTATTTCTTGTTTTCTTGTTGGCAACCTCATGCTACGTTCTATATTACAATAATGGGACAGTTAGTGTACATATATACATTGGCTGTACCGGAAAACGTTTTAACATATAAATTTAAATACTAATACAGCTATTAAAAAATATTGGTTGATGGTAGAAGGGTGAAAATTTAGACTAAAAAGGCATACACATTTTTAATGCTACATTATAAAAACATTGTTGAATAATAAACAAAAATGTTGGAAGTGGACAACCCTTATCACTATTTTTCATACCCGTAGTAAAATAGATAGTAGCCCGTTCTCAGATCTACTGAATGTGCATATAAAATTTCATAAAAATCGTTCATGACGTTTCGGAGGAGTATGGTAACTAACATTGTGACACGAGAATTTTGTATACATATATAAGATATTTCTCGCAAGTAACTTTACAATATTCGAGCTTCTGGGATAATTTAAAGTTATCCCTGAAGCTCGAATAGTAGTAATATTAATTTAAAGCTTTCTCCTAAACTTTTTAAGTGGGTAGGTAATTGGTAGCTTTTTTATTTATTTCTTGTTCTCTTGTTGACAACCTTCATGTATCTAATGATCTGTATTACAATAATGAACTTATACCTATATATATACTAGCTATCCCGGAAATCGTTATATTGCCATATAAATGTAAGTACTAATATCGCTAATATAAAATAGGGATTTTTAATCACTCTCGAATCACTCTATCTATTAAAAAAACCATTTCAAAATCCGTTGCGTAGTTTTAAAGGTTTAAGCATACATGGGTACAGACAGCGATAACGACTTTATTTTATACTAAGTAATGATGATAATGATATTTTGATATTTTAATAATCTGTGAGTAATGGAATACCGGATTTAAGTTTGTGCGAACAAAGTCACGGGTAACAACTAGTACAACTAGTACACTGATGCACTTATATTCGTACGTAGTAGTCTAATTAGATGTTGTGTCAACTATGCCGTCATACAGTCCCAACTTTGAACTTTCATGTAAATGATATTACTATATACGTCACAGTTTTAGAGATGAATCCTTTTGACACGCCGGAAAATAGTCAACATTTTATTCACCAATTACACAGGCTCACATTTTGCACTTTATTATATTACTAGCAGTGTCCGCGGTTTCCCCAGCATGATATTTATAGCCTAAGTGAAATTCTGAAGTATGAGCTATATTACAGTATAGAATTCATGATAATGATTACCTGTTCTTTATCTTTGGTTCTGACCTGTTTAAATGTTTAAGTGTGTAACTATATTGTTTTATATAACCAATTTAAATATAACTTAAATATTAAAGATAAATTCATGAGGTATCTGTTATTGGCTTTACTAACTAAGTAATACTATATATTGTCTGTAAATTGTATAAGCTGTTGATTACCTAAAATAAATAAATAAATAAATGATAGTTTGTATTGCTCTGGGTGTTTTCTATGTATAACACATAGATTACAAATATTTGTACCGCGCGAGGAATCAAAGTCGCGACTCTCGGAAGTATAGTGGTAAGCTAAACCGCTAAACTATCAAGACCACCACAAGATGTAGTGGCACATAATATTTTGATGTATTAACAAAAAAATGTATATAAATATTTTTTTTCAGTTGCTTTTACAGTTGGTTATTTAAATATATATTATAAATACATACATATTATAAATAGAAAACACACACACCAAACATACATGTGAATACAAATGTTTGTACCGTCCGAGGCATCAAACCCGCGATCAACGGAAGCAATGCGGTGTGGTAAACCGCGTGAATAGCGAGGCCGTCAAACTTTATTTAAATTTAAAATACTGTTGCAGTTGTCGATAACGTCGCGAATACGAGGATCAATACAAATATCACATTTAAAAAATGCACTATACGACAGTGGGTTCTTTCGGACTTCGCTTCCTCTAAAAATAGCTTAATAAGTTAATTTTAACACACAGACAGCGTCGGCGACTTTTTTGTATACTATGTAAAAATACGGATTTGCTTACCTCTCGCAACGTTTCGATAAGGTTGCACCTAGCCGTGGTCACGAGCTGACTGAAGTACAGCGCTGTTAATATCGGTAGGTGCCAGTGAATTCATTTACCATAAAATTATTTGTGCTAAGACCCGATTAATAATGTGTAAACTCGAAATTTCATATTAATTAATTCTACTGTGACAAAATTAATATTGCCGATCGTTGTCACTCATATCGTTTGATAATAATTAATTGCACAAAATGCAATGCTCGTGCATATTACTTTGTACAGATTATATTCCTGTAGAGCGGGAATTTTGTACTCAGTCATTTCCTTTGGTACACCTGTCTCTTTATGATCTACCAGATTTCAACCAAGCTCTGTTTAGGTAGGAGTGTTAGATATCACAGAAAAAAATAGGGCAATACATCTTAATAATTAATTATTATTATAATATCTCAGGACAATTCACACAGTACCATCTAGTCCCAAGCTAAGCAGAGCTTGTGTTATGAATACTAGACAATGTTATAAATAAATAGATATTTTTTTGTAAAATATATGTAGAAATATCCACATTGATAAAGACAATCATACTCATGAATACAAATCATGCCTGTACCGTGCGAGGGAGTCAAACCCGCAACCATCGAAAGTTAGGCGGTG